AAAAATATCTAGCTTTTTTTAAAAAATAAAAAAATTAAAACCTCTTTTCACCATTGTTCACTTTCAAAGTCTTCCAATACTAGTTCCAATACTAATTTCTGAGCTTCAAATATCTGGCTGACCATTAGATCAGGGGTCCCCAATCTCCGATCCGTGGACTGATACCAGGCTGCGGCATGCTGGCAACCGGGCTGCACAAACAAGCAAAACCCCATCCACGGGATGCAGGCAGCACACATAACCACGCTCCCTCCGATTCGCAAAAAAACCTCTCTCCATGTAACCAGTCCCTGGTGCCCAAAAGGTTGGAGACCTCTGTACTAGATGACATTAAAAAAAAAAAAAAAGAAAAAAATTCTTTGCTGCCATTCAACAGGCATGTAGATCTTTGCTGCCATTCAACGGGCATGTAGATCACACAAGATAACCTTAACCATTCCTTCCAAGCTGCACCTGTTTGACCACACTGAACCTATCATATTCTGGTAAAAGAAATGCGCAGTCACTCAGCCTGTTTCTTACAAGTCTGTGGTTGAGGACTCTGGTTCTAACCTGTAGAATATCTGGAGTCTAGAAGTACAAGGGGAAGATGGAACTACTTAACCATTGTAGCACACTGGCTCCTTGTTATTATTCTTTAATATAAAATTTTATTAGCATTCAAGCATACATCTATTGCACCTATCACACATCTAGAACATGCAGATTAGACAATACACACACACACAAACACACACACACATATATAATTTCCAGCATTTTCCTGCTCTCCAGGTAACAAAATCTTGTGCATATTTCTGAAGTCTGTCTGTCTGTCTGTCTGTGAATTAGGCCTCTGCCTACCAATTCAAATTATTTCCAAGTAAGTAAAAAAAAGACCACAGCTTTAAATTCTCAACGCCAACATGATTTTATCATTAAGAATATGAATAAAAGTTTGGCTTACAACAAAAGTATCTGCTCTTGCAAAGCCTCATAAGACACATTTAACTACTGTCAGAATTACAATGATGTGTGATACAAAGATATTAATCATTTCAAACAGCTTTCATGCAGTCCCTTCCAAATGAATGTTAAAGCAGAGATATCACTTTGTAAGAAAGTAATAGCTGGAATTTCAGCCTACTTCAATAAGTTCTTGCCTTTTATAATCAGTTGCCATTTTTGTGTTGTTCCTGCAATACCGATTATTATAAATTTCTGCTAGTATAATATCCTATCCATCCAGCATCAACTCAGGTTGCCTTTTCAGTTCCTTACTAGTTGCATTTTATGGATTGCATTTTTAACTGAGGTGAGACAGAACCATCCCATTCATCTTGCAATTTGGCAAATGTTGCTACAGTTCTGGAATGCTATGACCACACTCTTCGGCTTTGTCCATTTCACCGTCATTAAACATGACTCTGTGAACCAAGATACCAGTTTCATAACATTGCCATTTGGTCTCTGCGGTATCAACACAATTCCCTAAAACAGAATTATTTTTTCTTCCAGGAAAAGGGAGAAAATATTGATCTTTCTTCCAGAATATCTTACTCCAATTTATACTTAATGGGCCTGGTTGCACTCTTTGTTTCTTCAATTTCTGAGCACTGAGTTTTTGCCAGTCCATGGATTCTCTTTCATTAAAAACCCAATGAAATCATCCTAAAACCTTGATCATGATGGATCCATTGTCTACCAAGAAGTACGACACTTCCATAGTATCCAGTTAAATAGCATTTCCCAGTATCTCTATAAAAGGAAAGCCACTGCAGGTACTAGTTTATGGACAGGATAAAACTACATTATGTACATGTATATAATGGAGGGAGGAAGAGCTGTGGTACCAGCACAAGTAAGGAAAGTGAGGAAATTACAGTTTGCAACACAGAAACTATGATCAAAACGCAGGTGGATTGGCTGGGACCCATGACGAGGTCAAGAAGCCGGGGGCAAAGAACGCCACACTTATAAATAGCTTCTCCCATCAACTGGAGACTACCCTGATGATGCTGGCAGATGCCAGCGAAAACTTGGTTTTATTCTGGTTTTATTAAAACTTTTTATAGTTTTATAACTTCCTGGTGTTCGTATATTTTATTGTTTAATATGAGTCTACCCAAGAATCATTGTTTTGTTTTTAATATTCTTAATAATATGTACATGTGTATATATATATATATATATATATATATATATGTGTGTGTGTGTGTGTGTGTGTGTGTATGCACGTATATATATCTAATTTAGAGATTGCCCATCTCACTCATAGAGCAACTCCAGACTGAGTACAATTAAAAAATTGGAGGAAGCTCTTTAGTTCAAGTGGTCCATAATTATCTACCAGCAGCTTATTTGTCAGAACTAGATCACAGAGTGATTGTACAGAATAATTCAGGAAAGTCAAAGAAATGATTCCACATGCAAATGAGTTACAATTATTTGGATAATCTTTCCTGCTTTCAGATTACTTTTTCGTGAGTCTGCATCCCTCAAAGACATTCAGCATTCTCTTTCAAAATAAACCATTGAGAATACATATAGGCAGCTTTTTTTGTTAAAAAAAAAAAAAAGTGCCGGAACTCACACATATCATACAACCTGTCTTGCCTACCTTACAAGGTTCCATCCAAAAAAGGTGCCAGAACTCCGTTCTGGGAGTTCTATGAGGAAAAGAGCCCTGCATATAGGTAATCCTTGACTTAGGACCATAATTGATTCCAAAATTTCTGTTGCTAAGTGAGTTTTGCCCATTTTACAACCTTTTTGACACAGTCGGCAAGCAAATCTTTTGGTTATTAAGTGAACCATGTGGTCATTAAGTGAATCTGGTTCCCCCCATTGACTTTGCTTGTGGGAAGCCAGTTGGGAGGGTTACAAACAGTGATCATATGACCCTGGGACACTGCAATATCATAAATACATGACAGTTGCCAAGCACACAAATTCTAATCATGTGACCAAGGGGAATGTTTCAACTGTCCTAAGTATGAAATATCCTCATTTCACTTTTTTTAGTGCCATTGATCGTTTTGTTTCTCATCCAAGCTTTTTCAGTTCAGTTTAGAATGAACTGAATAGAAACAGAAATAGAACTTAACAGAAAATCTTGATAAACAATTAGTAAGAGAAATAATAAACTAGTTAGAAAAAAGTCCTTTCTACATAACTCTTTTTATACACACACACACTCACAAACTCTCTCACACAGGTAGCAATTATAGTGTACGTGAATGAATGTTAGATAAATCCTAGTTACACTGTTTACACATAAAAGGGTGTGTACTAATTCAACTGTCATGCTTGAAAGTATTTACATATATTCCAGGAAAGTTTTTAAATACTTACATTAGCATCAGAATAATAATCTGCTTAGAGACAACCCTTTCTATATAATGTAAGATTTCACTACATACACATACTCACAGAATCTCTCATAAGCAATTATAGTATAATGTGTGAAAGAATGTTAGGTAAATCCTAGTTACACTGTTTACACATAAAAGGGCTTATGTGCTATTGAACTGTCATACTTGAAAATATTTTATAGGTAGTTCCAGTGAAAATGATAAAGTTTTAAAATATTTGCATATGACAATTTAATCCATAGGAAGTTATAGTTTAATTTTTCCTTCAAATGTTTAAACCCAAAGACTTGAGATGTTTATACAGTATATAGAATTAATGTTATGTTCAAATTTTAACTCACAATCTCTTTAAAGCAATTTAAAAAACGTCATTTCAGAAATACCAGAAAATCCTTATTTGTGGAGCCCAGTATAATCTTGCACAGACCTGCAATATACTTTAATAGTCTGAGAGATTTCAGATAAACAGAAATTTATGAAATCAAACTGAAACTTCAATTCATCAGGATGATTTGGTTGCTACCGTTTTTTTCTGCCAGAACTTCAACATTTTTCATTACTGCAGAGATACAAAAACCAGCAATTTAGAAAGTCCATCAGTTAACTGTAGCATTGGAAAGAAATATGAACATCTGCCACCGGAACTGGAGCAGGGGAAACTACAAGCCCTGTCTTGAAGCTACAAACAAATCTCCCTGCTCCAATTCAGCCCCGCGCTCTTTTCTGCTTTACACTGAGCGGTCACCGAAGAGTAGCCAAGTTTTTAACTCTTAAATCAAACCACTCAAGGATTCTATCCCAAAGCCTATAAATAACTCTGGGAGAGAGAAAGCAAAAGGAGTCCGAATTAAGAGTGGCAAAAGGCCAACACCGCTGATCTGCCTCCGCCGCCCTTCCCAGTCCGCGGTTGCAAACGGCGAGTTAAAAGTAGTCGAAGGCGCCGCTAGTATCTCTGGTGGAAAATCGGGCTCCGATTTCTAGGAATGGCCCGGTTGACCTGATCGTCGGGGTAACGATATTCCGAGATTACTACTACTACTACTACTACTACTACTACTACTACTACTACTACTACTACTACTACTACTACTACTACTACTGGTTTCAGGTTAAAGCCTCTGGAATAACCTTAGTGCTGGAGGCTCAAAAAGCAAAACAAAACAAAAAAAAATGTCAAGTCACGGCTGTAAACTCGCGGCCTTGGCGCGACCTGGAGAACTCTTGCGCGCGCGCGCGCGCAATGCTGGAAGGAAAGAGCAAACCAGACTCCGCGAAGAGTTGCTACAGCGCAGTTCCCGGCGCTGCCTAGAGGCCACCTGCCACCACAGGGGCAGCCCCCCCCCGCACACATACGGACTCTTCGGAGAAGCAAGCGCGGGATGGGAGCATCCTCCACGTTTCCAAAAGCACCCAGTCACCTTCAGCCTAACAAGCCCCAACACATTTAAACCGAGATTTCCCATTTCCTCAACCACCACCTTCCCATCCTTTGGGTGCACCCACGCCAGAGCCCTCCAGCTTGCGCAGCTGCGGGTCGGCCGTTAGAGTTAAGGTTGTTCCTTCTTCAGCCTCCCGCAAGCCGCTTTCCCCGCGGGGATCAGCCATCTAAACTGAGAGGTGGGGTGCAGCGACCTGCCGGGTAATTACCTGAAGAAGCTGCTCTGTTAGTGCAGCAGCACAGGATGGTGACCATCAGAATCACCCGGCAAGTGGAAGTGGAGCCTCGGAGCATTCCCTTCATCCTCGAGGAGCAGCTGGGCAAACTGCAGAGGCCACGGGAACTAAAGGTAGCAGCCACTTTCGCTTCTCCAGGGAAACTGTCCCCCGCGGGCGGTTCCCGAACTCTGAGTTGCATTCCCCGCTGGGTGAGCTTCTGAGTCTTAAAGGCGATGACTGGCGGAGGGGAAGGGCCAATCCCGTCTTTTTCCGCCTCTCTCGTCTCTTGAGGAGCCAATTCTGGTTGGGAGAAAGCAGGCGCGGGCTGGAAAATCCAGGGGAAAGGATCGCAGGGCGAGAAATCGAAAGAGAAAGATGCTCGGCGTTGTTGCGACCTTCGCAACGGGGACTTTTTCAAAAGCAGGATTGCCCCGTGCTTTCTTAAGAAATCCAGTCTCGTAGTTCTGGTTTGAAGAAAGAAGGAACTGTACGCCACGGAAGTTTAAAGTACAGGTGTGTTCCTTATTAGGGTGCGGTAAGACAGCCTAACAGTTCATCTGGCCCGGAAACATATACAGAAAGGAGACATCGAATTGGTTAGATAGAACAATGTTTCTCAACTCCAGCCATATTTGAGGTTTGTGGACTTCCATTCCCAGAGTTCCCCGATCAGCATGTAGTCCACGCATCTTAAAAGTTGCTGAGGTAGAAAGCACTGAATTAGGAGAACTTTTCATAACCATGGGGGGGGGGGGAACCAAACCCTGAAACACCCAATAGGAGCTCTGCAGGGATTTAATAATGACAATGAAAACAGAAAAAAAATGTTCGTGTCTGGAACCGTAAGCCGTGGTACACAGTTTTGAGCGAGAGAAAAACAAACTGGGAAAAAATAATTCAGTAATAATAACCAGTCCAATTTCGATAGAGCCTGCTCAAAAACCACTTGTGTTGGAAAAGTTCCAGTTGACAAACACCATTTGGAAGCAAATCTTATGAAAAGCAAAAGGACGATCTTTTTCCACATTTATTATTTAAATTTGCTTTTAAATCTGTGCAAAACCTGGATAGTTTGTTAAAATAATTGAAAAGTGAGATAATAGAGACAGCAGGAAGAATTAAGCATTAACGTTACACCTTAAAAGCTCAAAAACTATTTTTTTGAACAATTTATTTCCCAGTAAAGATAACTTGAACCTCATTGTAACATCAGGATTGAAACTACTCTATTTAGCAGCAACCTGCTTCTTAGAGGAAAAGGGAGGAGGCAGTTACAGGAGACAAGCCATCAAGATCATTGTCAGCAATGAAGTTTTTTTTAAAACACATTTTATTGGTTTTTTTAAATTCTTAAGAAAAAGTACTCAGGACCCACTGTGGTGGTTGGGTGGTCAAACATTCAAAAGTAAAGACGTATATAAACAACTCAATACATTTCACTATCTCCTCTCTATTCCCCTCAATTAACATGATACATTTAAATATTCCATTTCTATTTTAGACTTCTATTACTATTAAAACTGTTTTATAACTTTATCAGCTTACAATTACAATAGTTTAAATTTAAAACAAGAAATTATCAATTCTAATTTTTAATCTCTCACATCCCTCATTTTATCACCAATCTCATTTATTTCTTCTTCCACTACACAATAGATATCCTAATAGCAATAAAATATTAATCAGCCCTATACATATGTAATCCCAGAGTCAATCCATCTCTTTAAAATAACGAGATAATATTAAACCTTAATTCATTCAAATTCATCAAACAAAATTCAAATTTTCTCCAATTACTTATCATGCCTTATCATGTCTTTGTTGTCATACAAGAAGTCCATCTTAGTAATTTAAAACACTCCATTAATTATTGAAAGCATCCCAATCTAAACAGTCATCATTTTTTCAATTGTAGTACATAATGATTTTCATATTATTCCCAAACGCTACATAAGTACAATCCAATACATTCTTAATCTGTTCTATTCTAATAATCACGCTCCTGTATATATATATACATACATACATACATACATACATACATACATACATACATATATATATATATATATATATATATATTTTCTTGCTTCTAACTCTAAATCTTAATCCTTAAAACAGTCCATAAATCCAGTATTGCCTTTTAATCCATTACACAGTTTTAGATTTCTCTTTTCAGTCTAATTCTGGCTTTTTTCCTAATGCTAGGAAGGTTTCCATAAATAAGCTTCCCTTTCAATCAGTCTATTTTTGTTGCTTGGAATGGCCTTTGAAGAAGTAGGAGTCCCATCCTCTGCATCAAGCGTCTGTTTCTCTCCTCCTTAAAATATTGTTGCTTTGTAGTTTCAAATCTCAATCTTTGCTTCTTCTGTTCCTCAAAGTTACACATGAGAGATTTGTAGGGTACAATAAGTTCCTCTTTTATCTCTGTTAATTCCTCTTCTAATATAATTTGGTTTGTAAAATAGTCAGGTGTAGTCTGGGCATCCATTTGAATGTTTGAAGTGAAATGTCTGGATCTTAGTTCTGAAATAGGTTCTTTCAATATGGCACAAATTTCTGCAGTGGCCTCATGTATCTTTTCCAGTATAAGCTTATAGTTTAATTGTGAATGCAATTTCTCCATTTTGATAGTAGTTAGAAAAAATCTCTCTTTTTTTTGTGGAGGCTGTATTTGATAAGAATTAGTCTATATCCACCCCCACAATTCCCACAGCTCAGCTTATCTTTTTTCAAAAATAATTTGAAGGTCAGGTCTGGTCTAACTTCAAAAAGTAACCAGAAGATGCAATATTAAATTTTCGCCACTAGATATCCTCAGTAAGTTAAGAAAGAGTCTTTTCTAGACACCATTGCCTTGTTTCTATCTTTAAAAGCAGTGATTCTCAACCTTTCTAATGCCGTGACCCCATAATACAGTTCCCCATGTTGTGGTGACCCCCAAGTGGGTGTGGCCACCAATAAGAGGGAGTAGGACAGTTAGGGAAAAGGGAAAAAATGGCGGACAGCAAGGTTTGGCGACCCCCGTGAAATGGTCGTTCGACCCCAAATGGGGTCCCGACCCACAGGTTGAGAACCACTGTTTAAAAGTATAGTGTGAAAGAAGAAATAATCTTCCAACACCAGGTGATAGTACAGTTCTTAGCAGAACAAAAAAGAGAGAGTTTTCTGTATCCCCAAAAATATGAAAGTAAAATTTAATCTTGTAAAACACCTTCTTTCCCAAAAACATAAAAGCTGCTTTCTCTAGCCAGGGAAATAATTCCAACAAGGCTCTTACAGGCAAAAAACAAAATCAAATAGAGAGAGTAACAAGGAAAAATCTCACCCGGATTACCATGGGGGCTCTTACAGCTTAGATGTTCTTGACTTGCAGTTTAAAGCAGCAGGGTGATCAGCCATTTTACTGGCCGATCTTCTTCTCCATCGGCCCTCAGAGATTGCCCGGACAGCTGGAGGAGCCGCTCCTCCTCCGCAGCTGAGCTGAAGCCTCCTCGACGGAAGTCGCACCCTCCAGGGCGACTTTCGACCCATATAAGAGTCGACCGGCGGAGGGAAAGCTAGCCGACGAGGAGACAAGTCTCCCCGTGCGACTGGAGACACCGCGAACTGGAACTGGAAGTCGTCAGCAATGAACTTTAATGTAACTGAAACATTATACTGATGAGAGGCCTGTCATGGTTCTGATAGATAAGACCAGTAAAAAGAATTCCAAGGCAAAAGGTTTTCTTAAAGAACATATTTATTGGCTACAAAGTATCCGGCAAGATCAAAAGTGAAACCAAGAGTAAAGTTCTCTCCCAAAGGTTACAATATTGCAAAGTTGAACTTCCCACCCCAGTACTATGTCATAAATCACATTCCCCAATAAACCATTTTGGCGGCTTTCTAACGGAACAGATAGCAATGACCTTGGTTCCCATGGGACAATTGATTGTTTTATCTAACCTTAAAAGCACACATTCCCTCCTCCCATACTGTGGCAACAGAAAACGAAGTAGAAATGGCTTCAACCAATTTTGTTGCAACGTTACCAGTCTGATCCCCTAAAGAAAGAAGAAATCCTCTAAATTAAAAAGAATCAGAGTTAGGAATCTCCCTGAGGCTTATGAGAGTGCTTATCAAAAAATCTACTATCAATCCAGCTGCTTTGACATCAGTACTGTTAACCCAAGTGGCCTCTGACAGTGGGTAACCTTTCCACTGTACTAAATACTGTAATTTGCCTTTGTACAGCCTAGAATCAAGAATTTGTTTTATTTCATGAGTCTCCCCCTCCACTACAAGGGGGCCAGCTGCCTGTCTTGGAGGAGGTCTTAAAGAGGACTCCCTGAAAGGTTTCAATAGACTGCAGTGAAAAACAGGGTGAACCTTTTCCAAAAGATGAGGGAGTTTTAACTCCACTGTGACAGGGTTTATAATCTGAACTATGGGGAAAGGTCGAAGGAATTTTGGTCCTAATTTTTTACTAGGCAACTTGAGTCTCAAATATTTTGTAGAGATATAGACTCTCTCCCCAACATGAAATGGTTTCTGTGGAGGCCTTTTCTTATCAGCCTGCTCTTTGTAAATCTTTGAGGCTTTCGCTAAAGCTTTTTTTGCATTGTCCCAAACAGTTCTCCAGGAAGTCACCCACTGATCTAAGGTTTGAGAAGCGGGAGGGTCCAGTGAGTATTCAGGCACAGGAATGAATTCTCTTCCAGTAGCTATTTTAAAAAGAGTGAGTCCAGTGCTGCTATGTACAGTGTTATTATAAGCCACTTCAGCAGAAGGGAGGAGGTCAGCCCAGGTCGTTTGTTGGTAATCAACATAACATCTACTATATTGTTCCACCATTGAGTTCGCTTTCTCAGCCACTCCATTCGTATTTGGATCAAAACCTGATGATAATCCCTGTGTGGATCCGATCAGTTTAAGGAAATCCCTCCAAACCTTTGCAGTAAATTGGACTCCTCTATTTGAAATAATCCATTTTGGTACTCCATGGAGACGGTACAGTAGTGGCCAAAATTGTGGGAACCTTTTGGGAAAAGTGTATTTTTGAGGTTTGATGGCTAATAACACCACTTTTTTGGGAGTAGTACCATAAAATTATATATCAATGGAAAGATAATTTAATCAAGAATGTAATGCAACAAAGTTTGAAAAGTTATAGTCAAATAACCAGAGAAAGGAAGCACAACTTGCTTTGGTTGATATCAGGTAGCTTTCCTTCATCTGATTGTAGCCAATGAGCATGAGTGTTTAGAGAGCCAATCAGGTGTCATCTTGTTTTGGCAACGAGTCAATCAGATCACAGTAGGATTCAATTATTCATGTCATGCATTGAAGCTGAGAGGAGGACATTTGTCAGTGTGTTATGTGATCTCTGTCAAGTTGGTTGGGTTTTTTTGTGTTCTTTCATTTATTGAGCTTGTAAAACGTATTAAAATTAAAGTAATGGTGCAAAGAGTTGACTGGTTGCCCAGAAAGCAATGTAAAATAGTATTATTAAGTGAACAAGGCTACAGTTATAAAGAAATTAGAAGAAAAATTAGTGGAAACTTAAGCAAAGGTGGCATTTCTACTGTACACTTTTCCCGAAAGGTTTCAACAATTTTGGCCACTACTGTATATAAGTTTAAGGAACATTTTGGCTAATTTCTTGGCTAAAGGAAAACCGGAAC